CCGTCCCTCATCTCGCCTCCAACAAGCAGCACCACTTTGCTGCCGACAAACTGAGTGGGCTTGAGGAGGCCACCGAGCCTGAACAGAACTCGAACAGAAGAAGCATCACCTGTAGCGGCAGGACATCCAGTCGTTCTGACATTGAGGCAGGCTTTGATCCTTTGTCTCTGATGGCCACGGCGCAAGAACGCGGCCAAGGCAGCGTTACCACGCCCACTGCCCGCCGCGAGCTGGCCGAGGAGATCGAAATGTACATGAACAATACCAACAGCCCGCTGAGGAGCTGCAGTCCCAACACGGACGTGCGCAACCCATCGAGTCCTTCCTCGCAGCCCAACCGAGCCCACACGCTGCTCCGCTCCAACACCCACCTCCTGTTACCTGTCAAATCTAGGGAGCGGCTCCGGACGTCGCCGTCGCTCCCTCTCGGTGTTGGTAACAAGAGCAGGGAGAGGCCTTCGTCCTTGGTGTTACCCTCGTCCCCGACTCCCTCCGCCTCCTCGTTTTCCATGGATTCCCTCTTCACCCCCAGCCTGGACAGCTTCAAAAGCAGCGTCCTCTTAGCGGGCAAGGGCGTCGCCGAGAAGGCCAGCCGCCTCTACTCCCGCCTGTCCTCACAAACCTCATTAACACAGGTCAGCGCCGCCGAAAAGCGCATCACTCCTCGCAATCGTTTTCACCCTGACCACATTTTGTCTCATTACGCCGGCAGGACTCAAACTGTGATCGTATCAGCGTGTCTTCGCTCACCTCGGGAGACGCGGACTGCTCCTCACTTGTGGATAATGACTCCTGTCTCGACACGGACGCCTTCGTGTCCCCGCAGCACGGCGCCGCGGCCCGACTCAGGAGGAGCCCCGTGGCGGGCCACGCCCACATGAGCCCCAGCACCCCCGACAGGGTCTTCCGACACAACTCATTCTCTGGTTAGTTTCACCTCCCGTAAACCAGTCTGTCGAAATCATCCGCTCAATGTCAAAAGCTCTGCTGCAAAAGATTTTAGTCACGCATGACTGAAGCATTGTGCGTGCGCGCTTGCTTGAAGCACACCACTGACTGACTCAAATTGGTCATTTTGTCTTAAAGTGCGCCTGCTGGTGTGCTGTGGGAAATTAGGGCAGCAGGCGTGAGAGCTATGAGTAA